AACAACAAGAAATAGACAGAAAATAGACAGATAGACAGACAAATAGACAAACGGAACCTGTAGTAATAATTAGCCTTGTGTCCTTCTTCCTGTGACAGTGCAATTTTTCTAAAAGCGTGTCGGTTACTTTTTCGGTTTGCTTGCTTGTTTTTTATTTTTATCTTTATTTACTATTTTCAAGTCTCAGTTGCCTAGCGCTATTGGAGTCACTACGTATATCGAGATGATATGGAGTGCTTTATTGAACACTTGTCACGTACTTTCCTCTCCTCCTTAATTATTTATTTTGTTAATTCAAATTCTATCTTATGTCATTTTTCTCTCTGGGCTTGAAAAATTCTATATTTATCCTCACCATTGCACAAAGAAAGTGTAGAAAGGTTTTCAAATAGGGTTGAATGTGAAAGTCTCCTGAAAAATTTAATGATAGAAGAAAAATTTGATTCAGGAATGGGTGCAGCTTGATAGAGAAAAAAAAAAAAAAAAACCGTAGCTGAAAGGTATGTTTTGCAGCAATGCGATTCTATGATCTTAAAAAGGACAAAATAAAACATATTCAAGGGAACAGGCACGAATTATTGGAAAATAGGAAGCCCAAAAGATGTTTTCAACTAAGCACATCCAGCCAATGCGGTTTGAGTGTATTCCAAATCAATGAACCGTTTTTGTTATCGAAACTAGCGAGGAAGTGGCGTTGATTGAATTTGCAGAAACTTGCAGGTATTCTGTCAGTGGGTGGATGGATTTGAAGATTGCAGGTATATTAGGCTCATGTACCAGTTTTCCCTATGTTAAATTTATCGATAAAGAACTGAAGCGGATATAAGTAAGAAAGTGAAAACAATAATTGCACTTTGACGTTGAGGTTTTTTCTTTTTAAAACCACTATTTTACACCTGTTATTTAAATACCACATTGGACTTTTTTCAGGAACAGATCCAATATTCATAATTTAGGTGTCTAACAGTATACCTCACAATGTCTTTAAATTTGCCATGCTTAAAACATTCTTTGTAAAAAAGATCAGTGAGTCCAGACGACGATTTATGATTTGTCAATTAAAATAACGAAGCAGTTCATTGTTTATTCCTAACAACCTCAAGAGTAGCCATTATAACTTTCCTTGAGTTCGCTAATGCAACAACATAATGCTTGGAAATACTGTTTTAAGTAGTACTGAAAAGTCAAAACGTAAGACGACATTGTATTCAACATTAAAATCATTTCTTTATTTGGCGAACAAAGCCGAATTTGTCAATTATGATCACACAATTAAGAGCTCTTAAAATTTCATTATTCTAAGCGGAAATTAGCAGCTTCCTTTTTAAACCCAAACGGATAGTGTGGACAGAGTTTTTGTTGTTTACATAATATCATTGAATTAAGAAATAATTATCAAGATGCTTCGAGATATATTGAGAGATAATCGTCATTTTTTTCCTTTTATATGATTCTTCAATGCCATACCTTGCGCATATCAACCGAACCTTTCCTCTGACCAAAATCCTTTGGGTGTGAATCAGTAATCAATCATAATACATGCGGCCTGCTGTTTTCGGCATGGTGCGCTCTTCTGCGAAAATCGCTT